GGCCCACGCCGCCCCCGCCCTCCCCAGTCTGTCATCTCAGATCTCCTGATGCCCTCCTTGCTGATGGTGTCACCCCAGTGACACCCAGCTCTCCCTCTTCTCATTACTGAACCCTGTGGCCCACGACCTCGAAAATCCAGCCACTCACCCAGATGTGGTGGCAAACACCTGTAATCCTAGCACTTAGAAGGCTGAGTCAGGAAAATAACAGTGAGTTCAAGGCCAGCCTGGGCTACAGACTGAGGCCCTGTCTCAAACAAACAAGCAACCTCCCTCCGCCACCCCCCCAAACCCCCTCCAAATAAATAATAAAACCTCCCCCCCAAACCCCCTCCAAATAAATAATAAAACCTCTTGCTTACAGAGAGACATCCTTCATCTGGCAGGAAGAGGGACCTAGGCTCAGGTAGGACAAGGGATATCTCCGGCTCAGAGGCACAGTCGGGATTCTAGTCCAGGTCCATGGGCTCCTTTACGCCCTCCCCCTCTGCCTTGACAACCGCCTTTCCCTTGACCCTCTTGTACCCCGACCTCCTCCTCTGCTGCCCTCCGCACCCCCGGGCCCTCCTTCCCTTCCCAGGTCCCCTCCATCACCTACCTCAAGTGTGACCTGGGACAGGTCCCAGTAGCCCAGAGGCAGAAGAGTCGTCAGTTTTGATGGGGTTTGGTGGGGACTTGTGGAAGCTCGGTTTTCTGTGCACTGACCCGCAGGGCCCAGAGGGAGAGCCCAGCCCCTCAGGGACTCACCTGACCTGCAGGCTCTCCCTTCCCCTAACACTGTCCCCGCTGGTGGGGTCTCCTCCCCGGTTAGCCCAAGATAACAACCTGTTGCTAGGGCCCATTATAACAGTGAGCCTCAGTCCATTGCTCAGCTGGCTGCTGTGCAATAATGAGAAGATGACATCAGAGGGCAGGGCCCCAGGGAGCAGGGACTCCAGAGACAGATGCACCTAGAGTCACCATATGGGGCCACTTTGCTCAGAGTCCCCTGTGGAATGAGGATGGGGCTCAGTGGACGGAGGGTTTGCCTGACACGATGAAGCCCTGGGGTTCATCCTCAGCACCAAATACACCCAGCGTGGTGGCACATAGCCGGTAAACCAGCACTCGGTAGTCAGAGGCAGAAGGACCCGAGGGCAAGGCCATCCTTGGCTGCATAGGAAGTTTTGAGGCCAGCCTGAATTTCATGAAAACCTGTAAAATAAATAAACAAATCACCCCGAATTAATCAGAGGAACTCTGTGGTGTCCATCACCCCAGGACAAAGTCCCAAATGAACAAGTTAGACATCTGGGGCTCTGGCCTTGGTCACCACTCTGCAGCTCAGGGGACTCTGCAGCTCAGCAGGCTGCTTGCCCACCTGCCTTCATCCACTCCTCTTTGTAGCTCTCAGGTGTCACGTGTGCTCTGGGGCACGAGGGTGGGGGTGGGCGTGGGCTCAGCTTGGCTAGCACTGGCTGAGACAGGTGGAAATGGGCAATGGGAGGACCCGATTTCCATGGTGGCTCATGCCTGTGACCCCAGCGCTGGGGCAGTAAATGCCATGTTCAAGGACAGCCTCCTCCACATAGTGAGTTGGAAGCCAATCTAGACTACATGAGACCTTGTCTCAACACACACACACACACCACACACACATTAGGCAATGGGGAGGTGGAGGCAGGAGAAGGGCTTAGTCTGTAAAGTGTTTGCCTTGTAAGCACAAGGGCCCAAATTCAGTCCTCAGACCCTGTGGACAAAATGCTGGGTGTGGTTGGTGGTGGGCACAGGTGACCCTGTTAGACCCCCAGAAAACTCAGGTATCCAGGGTCCCAGGCCACGACCGTGGTCACCCCAATCACCAGGCGGATTCGAGAGCTTGATGCAAACAGCAAGGGGCTTTATTGTAATTTAACGAGCTAACCCCATGTTAGCTCAGGTCTTTCACCCACCAGCCATGGCGGATGGCTGGCAAAAGACACCTCGAACCTGCTGCGTACTGATCTTGTAGGGCAGCGTAAGGGGAGTGTCTAGGGGTACG